TACCACACTATTGTCTGTGTCCATAGGTTATGCATATATGCATATAAGTTCTTAGGTTAATCTCTCCCCACCCATTCACCCACCCACTCCCACCTTTCCTCTCAGATTTGGCAGTCTGTGGGGAACATCTTTGATGGGAAGTTCCCTGAGTGCAGGAGCTATCTCTTGCTTATCTCTATAACCACCCAGAACAGCTCCTGGGCATGGACATTCCATGCAATCAAGTCCTCACTGTGCCTTCCAGGCCAAAGTCTTTCTGGTCTGTAGTTCTTGCTCAGACTGTCATGTACTCCCCTTTTCCCTCTGTTTCCCAAAGTGTTCTCAAGATATTAATTGGTGCTCCTTAAAAGAGTTCCTTGGTCAAATACATGAGTGAAACCCTGGGTTAAACAAAGCTAAATAGATAATTGTAGGAATTCTCAGATCCTTTAATATATTAGTGTGCACTACCAAACTTCAAGAGAAGGGCTTCAGTATTCCAACTTTTCTAAATTATTTGATCAAAAAAATCTATTTTCATAAAACATCTTAAGGTGTTCTCAGAGCTGCTGTTGCTTTTTAACCCACTTTGGGAAATACTAGCATACTCTGTTGCCTTCTGTTCCTGACCTTAAATCAGTCAAATTAATCCTGGGATTAGCTGGTTGACTACTTAAGAGACTTGGCAAAGACAATAACAACAACAACAATAATAATAATAAAATGAAAAAAATCACCATCTTTTCAATAAACCTTCCCAATATCTGTATTGTAATTTAAAAAGTGTGGCTTGAAAATAAATTTGAGTCAGATGGATACCAGCCATGAGAGTTTTCTACCTGGGATAGGGCAGTGGCCTCTGGATTAAGACTACTGAAAACTGTACTGGCTGAAGAGAGACCATTGAGCTGTGTGTTGCCTTGACTTTTGAGCATTCCCACACTAGGCATTAAGAGATAAGAGAATTAAGAGAGGGGAATAAGTCCCTTCTATGACCAGTGAGAAGGCTACTGCACCAGTCCAGGTAAGAGGTGATTAGTGCCTCCACTAGGAAAATGGCAGTAAGAAGGGACATCATGAAGACCTGATGAAAGTTGGTTATCAACTAGACTAGCCTTCTTTGGCTGGATCATCACCTTGGGAACCATTCTGAATCCATACCAGCTCAGCTTTTAGTTAAAGTTGCACCAGTATCCTTTGCTATCTCCCAGAATTCCGACATATAGCTGAGTTGAATATTTTGTAGTTCATACAAGCCAAGGGTTGGCAACCTTTTCCTATAAAGGGCTAGATAGTAAATATGTTAGGCCTTGTGAGTCATACAGGCTCTGTTGCAACAACTCTGCCATTGTGGTGTGAGAACCATCATAGATAATCAATAAGTTAAACAAATGGATATGATGGTCTTCAAAGAAAACTTTATTTACAGATAGAGGTGGTGGGTCAGGTTTGGTTCATGGGCTGTAGTTTGCTACCTGATCTATGAGTGAAGCTTCTTTCCAGCTAAATACAATAGTTTGTATTCATTTTCATACCTCTCTGCTTGTTTCATTTGCCAAGAGTAATCGCCTTCTCCTTTGGAAATTCTCTTCCTGGCTTCTGTTTCCATGAGGTGATATTGTGTTCTGGTTCTGTAATTTCTGACCATTTCCATTTCCCTCTTTGGCCAGCTCTTCTTGCACAACCTCCCCACTCAATCCATGCCCCAGGCTCAGTCCTCAACCCTTAGTTCATCTTTAGGGCATCAAATTTCATCTCCAGTCTTTTCCCCTTTTTTTTTTTTTAACCCTCACCCGAGGATATTTTTTCCATTGTTTTTCAGAGAGAGTGGAAGGCAGGGAGGGAAGGAGAGGGAGAGAGAGAGAGAAACATTGATGTAAGACAGACACATTGATTGGTTGCTCCTGCATGTGCCTCAACTGGGGCCAGGGATTGAGCCTGCACGTATGTGCCCTTGACTGGAATTGAACCTGAGATCCTTCAGTCCGTGGGCTGACGCTCTAACCACTGAGCAAAACCGACTAAGGCTCTTTTTCTCTCTTGAGCTCTTTTCCTACCTCAGAACTCATACAGTGCTACGTCTATATCACACAATCTCATGCTAGATTGAATCCTATCTTGAATTGTTTAATAGTTATAGTACATCCAATTATACTGCACACCACAGCAAGGCATTTGGATTCTGTCCCTTAGACAGTGAGTTAGTGATGCTCCTATGGAGCTTACAGAATACCATCAGCAAGAGAAGGAATGGTCTGTACCCAAGGGACCAGGATGAGATGTTACCTTTGGGTCATTATTAGGAAGGAGCAGAGGGGATATTTGTACCTCCAGCAAATGGATGTTTCTCAGTAACAACAGAATGGTGAACTTTGTGTACAACAAAATAGAGACAGAAGGGGAATAGAGTGGGAAGGGGATTGAGATGCCCTTTTCTGTCTCACTCTGTCACCAATGGCAGAAGGACACACAGAGGTTTGGGTGTGAATAGCTGCTACCACCATTACTATGAGCGGCCAGGATTCACTAGGCTTGCCTCAGAAGGTATCATAGGCATCATGACCATCCCTTCTGCCACTGATTTATTTCAGGCCTTCATCATCTTCCTACAAGACCAAAACTTCTCTAGGTATGTGTGAATGGGTGAGAAGTGTACTGAAATTCTGAGCCCTCAGCCTCCAGGTCTTGTTGCCTCTGGCCACAAGCTGCCTCATCTGTTTATTCCAGTATGCTGTACAAATCATGACTTTTTTTGTGATACAGAAAAGGTAGGGACACACCCCAGGATCTCCAATAGCCTTCTGATTGATCTCCCTGCTTCCAATCTCTACCCACTTCACTCCATTTCACCTCCATATTGCTGCCTAAGTCATGTTCTAAAATATGACTCTCTGTCACTTAAAATCTTTTTTTTTAAGTATGCATTTTATTTTACATCAAATGTTCAGATTCTTTTTAAAATATATCTTTATTGATTTCAGAAAGAGGAAGGGAGAGGGAGAGAGATAGAAACATCAGTGATGAGAGAGTCATTGATCGGCTGCCTCCTGCACGCCCCCGACTGGGGATCGAGCCCGCAACCCGGGCATGTGCCCTGACCGGGAATCGAACCCCGATCGCCTGGATCCTAGGTCGACGCTCAACCACTGAGCCATGCCCGGCCGGGCTGTCACTTAAAATCTTAAATAGCTCATCACCTAAAACCTACTGCCTTCCATTGTCACACAAAGCCCTTCGGGACCTGAACCAAACCTGCAGCTTCAAAGCATGTCTCCCACTAACTCTGCCTGTGCCCTCCTCCCATTACAGCCCCTCGTCTTATGCTCCAGCAATGACACATCATTTACAATTTGCCAGAGATGTTATGTTCTTGCATCCCTTCATAACTTAACCTATGTTGGTCCCTCTGGCTGGAATGCTCTTACATCCCGCTCTGTCCACCCAGCAAGCTGCTACTCACTGGTTACATGGCTCATAGACAGCATGACCCACTGCAAGATGCAGCCATTCATTCAGAACAGGGCCAACACAGTTCCTGATCTCATGGCACTTATAATATAACAGAAAATAAGACATAAACCAAATAATCATAGAAATGAATATGACTGTAAGGTATGTAAGAACTATGAAGGAAAGTACAGAGAGCCATCAGAACATAGGATGTCCTGGATCAGTGTGTGGGTGAGTGGGTGCAAATGTGCACACATGTGACTAATTTGGTTGCAGAAGCTGGAGAGAGCTTCTTTGAGGAAATGGATTTGACTGAAAAATAGAATAAGGGACCATTTGACCAAAGTACAGGCTGACTGGCTGGCTGACTGATAGAAAACTGATAGACTAGCTGGCTTCAGGGCAGTCTGACCTATTGATGCCCTGGCTGACAAGCTTGGCTACAGGACAGGAAGAATGTCTCAAAGCCTAGCAGCCTGACATCCTGACCAGTTAAACTGCTTGGCTGGCTGGTCAGCTGGCTAATGAACAGATGAGAAGCTAAGTG